AATAACTTGATAACTAATGATGAGATACACTGTTAATAAACATTCAACAAAATTTCTGAACATTTCCAAGTTTGCAAAAAACCGTCGAAATAATCCAGTCGGAATCCAAAACATAGAGAAACGAAAAAGTTGTGAACATTACCAAGTTTGCAAATAACAGACGAGAAACGGAAAAATTCTGAACATTGTGTTGTTTGCAAAATCTGAAGAAATACTCCTAGCCATATTGGGATCCAAATTGTGAAGCAATCTGTAGTAACTCCTCCCTCTCTACCTGCTCTGTCAGATATGGAAGCTTAAGGTTTGCTTCGTCCAACAACAGACGTCTGCAACATTCTGCTCTCCTCATGTTGATGTAGATATCATTATCCCACAAGGTCTTCCAACCGCGCTCCCTAGTCCCCTGCCAAAACTCCATAAAATTGAGAGCATAAACACCACAAGAAGTGTCATTTGACTGTTTGAAACCAAGGTCAATCTCCCATGTGAACTCATCGAAATTAATGCAACGGTTGTCTGTCCAGCCACAGAACACAATGACGAACTTGACAAGCTTCTCCCCCATATCTTTGTAAGGTCCGCTACCCCAATCTGATTTTTTGCCGTTCATAAATTGGTATTGTTTCTTCTGGATGTCAACACAGAAAACGACATAGTGTGTTGCGATGCACACAGGAAAAAACCACTGCAAGAAGGTAAAAAGAAATTGTTACAAATGGTATGTTAAATGTTACTGATGTGATTTATTATTAAGAAATGGTAAAAAATCGTCAACGGAATACAAATTGTTAATAATGGAAATATTTAAGGAACGAAACTCACAAAATTGCAGCTTGACATAGTTTTGTCCTCAAGCCAAGCGATTGTCTCAAACTCATCAATTAACATTCTCCGCACAGGGAATTGGGTAGGCTCTGTATCTCCTGGTTGGACGACTTCATTATTCTCGTCAAATGCCAGCAAGTTTTGCTATAAGACAACGAAAATGCAGAATGTGAAAGCGGAAACAAGAAGACAAAACAACTTAAAAATAACAAATAAGCATTGGTTGTTGGAAAAATACCACAAATGGGGACATGAAAATCCATCTAGTGACAGAACCATTTGTTTTCTTCACTTCAAGGCGATTGAGATAATCAGAATAACAATCAACAAAGGCGTCTTCAATGAAGATGTTAGGCGCGGATGATTGTGTGTCCTCCCTCCAAAGGGAGAGAGTATTGTCCTTCAGAGTTCGTAACTCTTCTTTTCTATATTAAAAATGATGGGAGGAATCAGGATGATGTACAGATATCATAAAATAGGCATTAGTGATTGGTGTTATAAGGAGAAAATCACTTACCTCGTGATTCTCGGATTCCAAGCGTAGCACACCACCAAGTCCTCCCATTTATTAGGATCCAGTACGAAACATAAGGGCAGAGCATTCTTTGTCTTCTTCTTAGGAGCATTTAGGGTATCTATCTTTGTCCCTGCAGTGAATGGGGAAGTGACAAGAGTAGATGGCCTAATCTCCCTCTGTGGCCTCTTACGTGGTTGGGCCTCGTCCTCTGCTTCCTTTCCTTTCTTGCGCTTGTATGTCCTCGCGCATGCATTGCCAACCTTAGGCTTGTCAGCCTTCTTAGCAACTTCAGCATCTTGATCATTGGGGCTAGGTACAAGTGTATCATTAGCTACAGTAGCATCTTGATCAGCATCTTGCTCAGCATCTCTCGTCTCTTTGCCTGCAATACAGGAAATTGTGGCATTCTTATTAATATTAGTAAACCTATTATCAATTTTTTTTGTAAAATGTTTATTAACACGGTTTCTCGAATCATTAATATTTTTAAAACTATTATCAATATTATCTTACACGATTATTAACTGCTAATACCAATTCATTAATATATTTAAACCTATTAGCAATAGTTTTATGACATCCTTAGTAATTATCTCGACATTATTTTTTAATAAGGAAACTAACCAGGGTTATCAACCGATGTGCAAATCTTTTCCACAGTAGCATCTTGCTCAGCATCTATCGTCTCTTTGCCTGCAATAAAGGAAATTGTGGCATTCTTATTAATATTTGTAAACCTATTATCAATGTTTTTTTTTGTAAAATGATTATTAGCACGGTTTCTGGGATCATTAATATTTTTAAAACTATTATCAAGATTTTCATACACGATTATTAACTGCGAATACCAAATCATTAATATTTTTAAACCTATTAGCAATAGTTTTATGACAGTCTTAATAATTATCGCGACATTATTTTTTAATAAGGAAACTAACCAGGGTTATCAACCGATGTGCAAATCTTTTCCATAGTAGCATCTTGCTCAGCATCTATCGTCTCTTTGCCTGCAATACAGAAAATTGTGGCATTCTTATTAATATTTGTAAACCTATTATCAATTTTTTTTTGTAAAATGATTATTAACACGGGTTCTCGAATCATTAATATTTTTAAAACTATTATCAATGTTTTCATACACGATTATTAACTGCGAATACCAAATCATTAATATTTTTAAACCTATTATGAATATTTTTTATGACATTCTTACTCCTTATCTTGACGTTATGCTATATAAAAAATGTTAACAACGACTGTAAATTGATTAATAATATAAAACAAGGATGGCAAATATAATTATCGTGTGAAAATATTCACATAAAGTTCTAAAGAATTAATGAATTAGGAATCCTAGTTAATAATTGTCATGAAATTGGTATGAAACTAACCGGGGGTATCAACCGATGTGCAAATCTCTTCAAGACCTTTGGCAGGTGGGGATGCAATTTTCGAACCAGATCCATCCAACGAAAACTCAGCAACAGTCTCCTCCCGAGAGGCCGAGCCGTTTACATCTTCATCATCAAATGAGGTGACGTCACGACTGTTTAACTCTGAATCGCAAACACCAACGAGTCTTTTGAAGAAGGTCACCTGACCGCGAAGCGTTGCAAGGAAGCTTAAAGCCTCCTTCCGCATATACAAAAGCTTCATTTCGAAGACAACCAAATCGAAATTTTAGTTAATAATAAGGTCGAAAAATCTTGATAATGTAAACAATAACATTAATAATTATAAAAATTAAGGGGCTAACCTCATTCGTGTCCATGTGGTCGGTCCTCAAGGACATAAGTTCGAACAACGACTTTGGCTTAATGTTCTGTTCAGATTCTCCCCCATCATAATTCTCTGGTTGCACCCTTTTCGAACAGACCTCTCTAACAATGCTCACAGAATCAACATGCTTAGCTCTAGATTTTCCAATCTCCTCCACCAGTTTCTTCTTATTGGCCTTAGACCCTGGGAAATCCAATATAGGGACAGCCCTCAGATCATTTGAAGTACTAAGGACTGCTTCCTTGCGCCCTGACACTCGTTTCTCATTCCATAACGTACAGCTTGGTATAATGGTAGAAACTGTTCCAGTTGTGTTTGGCACACCGGTCCGGTCCATGAAAGCACATATAAGAAAGTGCACATCGCCCTCCACATATTTTCTATCTGAATTCCCAAGAATAGCCCGTCTCACCCGGCTCAGCATATGACCACACCAATTGAAGTTTCTAATCTCTTCAGCTGCTCTCCCCCTCATGAATCCAAGGTACTTATGCATCACATTCATACTGCCATTTGGGTCCAGAACATATCCAATGCTCAATAGAATGCACATCTGCACCCAAGATTCATCATCGGTGGTGTTCCTCATGTCATTCTTCAACTGCATTAGGTCAATCATATTTGGGCCGACTGTGGATATGCCAAGAGCCAACGCCCATTCCTTTGTATTGCGCTGGTCGAAGATGTCAAGATCAACAATATTGGGACCCTTGGGCAAGCCATACACGCGTTCGACGTCATCCTCAGTAAGATACAAACGTACCCCTCCAGGCATCTGGAAAGACATAGACTGACCTACAAAATGTTACAAGGACAGGTGCTCACAATTAATAATGAAACAAATTTTATGGATAATGACTACGGATAAAGTTGAAAACACAACAGGAAATAAATTCAATTAAAGATGCTAGTTGTGTGTTCACCCACCATCAAAATTAACATTTACCAAGCGCAAATAATCCTGGTCAATACTACGCATCTGCAAGTTAAGAACGAAGCCGAACCCATAACTTCGAAGTATAGCCGCACGACTTGGGCTAATATTCTTAACGACTTTGCGGACCTGAGACACACTGCACCTGATTGGTAAGCGATTGTCATCAGCTATGGGTGCATCTGCCTTTTTCTTCATAGGCTTACTCAACGGTGCAGACTTACGCGAAGTATTCTTCGTACGTGCCATATTATATTGTGGACCACTGTAAAAAATTATTAAGAAAGTCCACGAAATGATTAATAACCCATTTCTTAATAACGATCAATACAAAAGAAAATGTTAATAATGTACATGAGGTAGTAGTGCTGATAACGGTGTTCACTAAAACAACATAACACGACAAGAATTGATTATGGTGTTCGCAAAATTATCACGTTGGCAAAGAACATATCCATTAATAATAAAAAGCAAAAGGTTGAGAGCGAGAACATATTGATTAACAATGTTAACCAAAACAGCTTGTAAACGCCCACCGAATGATTAATAATAGATATAAGAAAGGTTCATAACGAGCAGAAATTGATTAACAATGGACACAAAAAAATTAAAAATATTGACTAACAATGAACACACAACACATTGACTTGCATGACAAATTGATTAATAATATAGAACAAAAAAGTTGAAAACAAACACGTATTAATTAATAATAATATAAACAGAACACGTTTTCCATACGTCCAAAACAAGCTTGATGTAACATGCAACATGCAACGCCAAAACAAGCTTGATGCATGATGATGCTGCCCTTCACCGCAATCACGAGGGCATGCTCTCCTTCACATGCAACATGCAACGCCAAAAACCCTTATCCCATGCAACATGCAACGCCAAAAACCCTCAAAAAAGCGGCCAAAAAAATCGGACCGAAAAAATACCTTAACACGCGGCCGCCGACGATAGATTGAGAAATCGAACAGCAGGCAGGAGAACTCGACCGGACGAGAAAAGTTATGGGTTCGGTAGGAGAAGTCGACCGCACGAACTCGGACTATGCGACGGACTCGCCGTTGACGAAGAAGCAGGGACGACGGGAACTCGACGAGCTCGTGCTTCAGGGACTATGCGCCGGACTCGCCGTTGACAGAGAAGCAGGGACGACGGGAACTCGACGGGCTCGTGCTTCGGGAACTCGACGGCCTCGTGCTTCAACGGCGACGGACTCGCCGTTGACGGAGAAGTAGGGACGACGAGAAAAATTGGCAGAGACGGACACGCTTAGGGTTTTTGAAAATAATAAACCGTCCGCTCTTAGGGTTTTTTAAAATAATAGACATGTTTTAATTTAATTATATTCTCCTTAATACCCCTAACAACTTTTTAACTAATAACTCCTACTAACTACCTTATCTTGAATTAGCCAATCACAAGGCTTTAAGTTCTTCCTTAAAAAAGAGGCCTTAAGGACCAGAACTTAAGGGCCCCGATTAGTATGTAGGTACCCCCAGTGGTTTAGTAGGTCCCGCTGTCGCTCAAACGGCATTATTTTCTTTTCGAGTCAGAGAACCACGGTTGACAAGTACAGAATCAACGAAAATAATAAAGTAAAGAAAAAACCCCATTTTAATATTCCAAGGGAAAGTAAGAGCCACAAACTTACTTAGTTTTACATATAAGTACTGATAAGTTTACATGACACACTTACAAGGTCGGAATGAAACATCACGAGAACAGTTAATAACGTTGGAAACACGAATATAATTATAAGCACACAACAAATCATTCAAGCACAGGACGACTTGAACATACAATGAGCATGCGCTTGATTATTGATATTTTATATATAAAATATGCTTGTTCTTCTTCTTATTCAGTTCACAGGCGACTTCATGCATCTGCATTTGTGTTGAAAGGGGGAAGCAAAGTTAAAATAAAAGTCATTAATTAAATAATTATTAGTCAAGCCATTCACACTCTGGATTTTAGTCAAGCAATTGAATTCGTAAATGAATCCAAATGGCAATTAAGCTTTAGAATACTGTATTATGAAAATTTTGATAAACCTAGTTACTAAAATTTCATTATAAAAAATCTAAGTACCAAAATGTAATTTATTTCAAAGAAAAAAACATTTTTCATTTTGAAAAATTGAATATTGGATATCAAATTATGAACTTTAATTTTCCATCAATTCAGAATTCACCGATCCAAATGAATTTTGACTAATGGAATATTTTAGTGGTTAGATTGAATTGATTGATTGGATTCAAATTACAAACTACATCTATTTTTATTTTATTTTATGCATGAATAAATATGCATGCATGATTGATTTCCCATTAAACTTTTTACTGAAGCGTTAGAAATGAAAGCAATTAATTAATTAATTAAGTTTACCCAAATCACTTGCAAAGACTTACCGTTCTTCTCACCAAAAAAAAGACTTACCGTTCTGGTGGTAGGAAGTGGGTTCGATAATTAGCAACAATCGGAGCAATAGCTGAGAGCACCGCCTGAACCAGTACAGTAACAACAATAACCAGTTGGGCATCTTTTGTTTTTCTTGTGGCAGTAAAACTTGTCCGGCTGAATTCTCCCGCCTGATTCGCCGCCGCCTTCCCCCACCGCCGTCGTCTCTGCCAATACCAACCATCCAGTCGTAATTAAAAAATAAAATAATAAAGTTCACCATATATACATAACACGCCCCCTAAAACGAAAGCATGACCCTGAATGCGTTGGTTCCAATCTTACTAACACATACCATTAGCATGGCCCTGAGAGCGGGGCAACGGGACTGCAGCCATGGAGTGACGAGGCACCGCTGCCGCCAACGCAATGATCAGCAGGAGAACAAGGAGAACTTTGCTGCTCGAATTCATTCTTTTCACGGTGTACGTAGAGCGATGGATATCGAGAAATATGTATCATGAGTAGCTATAGCGTCGTGTGTTTGTGTGTTTAATTAAGGTCTGGCGCGATGGTTTATATAGGCATGCAGTGCACGGCTGAGAAATGTATATTGCAGTCTTATATCGTAGCCGTCGGGCCATAAGATGCTCCTGCTGCCGTCCAGTCCATATCTAGATCTAGACTTTGTACGTGTTCTTGACTTGCCTTCTATATGATAGCGATATCTAGATGCTGCGGCTGCCTGCCCATTTTATATACAGTGTTTTTTTCTACTTGCATTGGCTTCTCATATGATAGCAATATGTCGATGCCGCCCTTCTCATATATATATGGATGCGGATGTTTGACTGGGAACTCAACTCTCAAGTTTGCACAAGCCTCTACAAGTCTGCATGCCATGTGTTTTTAACACAATGGATGATATTGGGGGTTGTCGTGAGCTTGGTCTTATACAGCTCGACTCAGTGGTTTGGTGAGCTCAACTTGTAACCAAACTCGTTTTAAGCTATAACCTGATTCGACGGCATAGGTAGCGAGCCAACTCGACTATCAACTTATGGTGAATTGATTTTATAGTTTATGAAGCTTGTTGATAATTCATTAGGTTTGTTAAATTGTGCATCTTACAACATATATGATGTTTAAAAATTTGATTACATTGGCAAATATTTCTCGTTTATAATTTTGAAGGGATATTATATAACATAGATTATTTAGATTAAATTACTATTAAATAATATTATATGAATAATTGAAATTTATGAATTTAATAATATAATACACGGACTAGAGCATGACTTGAGAGCCGATTGATGAGTCGAACTCGAATCATTTATTAAGAAACTGAGCTCAAATTATATTAAAACTCGACGGGACTCGACTCATTTGCAATCCAACATCATCGTACCAACTAGTGACAGTAGTGGTGGTATTAATTCAAAGTCTGGAAATCTAATGATCCATTGCTACCATATTTATAGATTTGCACTTGAAAATACAATTGAACTAGGCCATGTAAGAAGTAACCCATTACAGAATTGCTCGTTTATTTGCTAGAGGTAGGGATGGGCATTCGGTTGGTTCGGTTCAAACCGAACCAAAATAATGCATATCGGATCCCCGAATTCTATGAAACCTTAAACCGAATTTGAACCAAATTATAATTTGGTTTGGTCGATTCAAACCAAATTATAATTCGGTTTGGTTCAATTTTTCTTACAAAATCGAACTTGTGAGGTTAGTTTGTATCTTCTCTCTTTTAAATTATTTTTCACTCCTAATGTTAACAATAAATTTGCAATTATATTCATCATCAATGATAAAATCAAACATTTCAACACATAAGTCATAAACACTAACATGATTCAAATATTTAAGTCTCATAATAAGTACAAACATAAAAATCTACCAATTGAAGCTTGCAATTATAGTAATTCGACTATTCGGTTCGGAAATTCGGTTGAAAGGACCCTAGTTCCTGAAATATGCCATTTTCCCTTCTGAATTCCGAACCGAATAACATTAATTTGGTTTCGATTCGATTTATATTTGGTTCGGTTAGGTTTTACCGAACCGTATGTCCATCCCTAGCTAGCGGAAGGAAGTGTGCGATTGAGCAGTTGTTGGTGGCGGAGGAGGATGGACGGCCGAGCAGGGTTCTTTCCACTCTAGACGAGAATGGCGGATTCGAGTGGTGGCTGGAGCCTGGAGGAAAAAATAAATTTTTGAGTTTTTTAATTAAAATATGACGTGGCGTCCTGGTGGCATGACTTGTCTAATTGAAATTTGAAGCTGATGTGTTAGTTGAGGTGTCACCCACGTCAGCGTAAAGTAAACATTACTAACAAGGATGTTGACAATGTTCAAGTTTTTAGCGAAAATGTTTAACTTTGTCAAACTAATTTTAAAATTGCGATTATATCTATGTATTTTTCAAAAAGTGGCTATTATTGTTAAGTGTAATATTTGCCTAGATTCAGGGGTGTGCAATGGTCCGGTCGGTACTGGACCACACCGGACCAAACCGTTGTTAAGACTAGACCGGACCAGACCGAGTTAAATGCCGTCCGGTCTTTGGTCCTCATGAATTTTATAATTACTGAAGAAATGATGGACCGACCTCATATTTGGACCGGACCGAACCAGATCAAATGGACCAAATACAAGAATGGTCCGGTCCTTGGTCCTAACATGTCTTTCACTACTAGACCACGGTTCTAATGAGTTTGGTCCGGTCCGGACCGAACCGTTGCACACCCCTACCTAGATTGCATGTACTAAAAAGTAAAAATTAAAATAGGTTTAGCCATCGCCGTTGCCGCCGCCGCCGCCGCCGCGGAACTGTAGTAGTGTAGTGGAGTGGGAAATAGAATGAGAAGAGCGAGCGGTTTCGTTCTTTCCGCCATCCGTAGAAGTAGAACCTCCTTTGCGCGCCGTCACGGCAACTTCTGCACAACGCCTCTTCCTCTCCCGCAGGTACTTTCTGCCAAGAGCTCCAGCCTCTGCTTGACGTAGTCGAGCTCGTCTTCTTTTCTTGCTAAAAGATGTTGGAATCAACAACTTTTATCTTGGTCCGGTGTTCTTGCAGATGGACCATCAGTCAGACTCAGAGCGTTACGATTTCAATCCCATTCTTCGTTGGAACCCCGAGGTCGAGCGTTACTTCATCCACGCCTACGGCGCTGACCACTTCTCTCGCATTTCTGCAGCTCTTACGTATGTCGCTAGCTTCCAGTATCTGTCTCTCTACTACCGGTAAATTACCAATTTCAACATTCCTTCTTCTGCGTTTCAAATAGATATCCGTCCCGGTATTCTTGCATCCGGGTCAATTCGCTGAAGACGACGAGCGACGCCGTCATTGAGAAGCTACAAGGAATTATAGGGGAAACTGAGGTTGAGGGGGATCAGGACGAAGTAAAATGTGGTGGAAAGGCAAGCGCAGGGAGTCCTTTAGAGGAAAGCTGGAAAGATGGCCGAATTACCAAGTGCAAGATACCTGGATTGGATTACGTTGTGTTTGTCAAAGGCTCCGGACCATGCGCAATTGATTATGGCTGCGCATCTGGTGCTCCTCCTAAGGAGGTGATTGTGAGCAGGAAATGTGCCGAAGCCGTTCTACGTGGTGCTCAGGTAAGCATTCTGCTGTTGCCGCCAACTTCCTCGAACTTATCGCATTTGGACTTGCATCTTTTGTTATTAGGTTACTGATGATGAATGTAGATGCTATTAGGTTACTGTCTGGTGTATACCCCTGTGTGTGGTAAAGTTACGTTCTGACTTTCAGTAGTATTGTGAATTCATGGAGTGGATGTGATTTGATTTTAGGTGTATGTTCCTGGTGTGCTGGCTTGTAGCGCTCATGTTGAAAAAGGAGATACAGTTGCAGTTTCCGTTGCTTTGGAACAGCGGATGGCTGATGGTGGATGGGCCACTGGCATTACTCGTGGGACAGTTTTACAAGGACTGCAGACAGGCAAGAGGGAAATTTTTGTTTTCAATTTTAATACAAGAAAGAAAAAGACTCATGTGGCTGGATGGTAGTTAAATTTTTTTTTTCTCCACGTTCTGTTCCATGGTCAGATGGTTATGATATGCGATCATTGATTTTTTCACGAGATATTTCCGGCTCATTCAACGATGTGGTTGATCGAAGGATTGAACTTACCTGTAATACTGCAGATCCTCATTATTCTGAAAGAAGAGGACTATATATTGGCCAAGGTAAAGCAATGCTGTCGAGAGCTGGGTTATTCCGTGTTACAGAAGGAATTGCTGTAGATATGAATAATCGGGTGTTTAAGCTCCCCTCTTTCCATGGTAATGACTCTTTATCTGACATTGATATTTTCTTTTTCCTCTGTTATTGGAACTGGCCATAAGATCCACATGCAAAATTTTGCTATGGAGTGGTAATTGCAGCATATTTGGAGTCTGGAATTGTTTTCCATTTGATTTCCTCTGCTTCCCCACTGGACCAGCCACACCATACTTTTTTCTTATATCTCATGTTCATGTTGACCTCTGAATGATTTACATGAAGGTCTTCTAATGTTTAAATTAATTCCATAAACAGTTTCATTTACCTGTAGGCTCATAGTCTTGTTACTCGCTTCTATGTTTTAGATTGTTGACCCTGTCTAAAAAAATCAGCTAATCTATTCCTTCTTGTGATTACCCTATTTTGGTACCAGATGTGCTTGAGGGGGAAATATTTCTTCAGAACCTGCCCAGCATAGTTGCTGCTCATGCTCTTGGTACTATTCGTTCACCTTTTAAGTAATATGTCACTATATGGCATTTGGTTGTTCGCCGTGAAGTTTGTGGCATCTGTTATTTTCCATAGAGTATCACTCCCAGTCATTTACCTCACTCGTCTACTTAATTACATGGTGATTCCTACTATGTGAATGACTGTTAAGAGTTCAAGATAATAGGAGCAACTATTCTTCCTTTTATGTTGAATTAGTCGTTCTTTGTTTCGGTGTCGATACTCTGATCTTTGTAGTACAAGAGGGTCCTCCATTAGCAATATAGGTGTTCCAGAATGTAGATTGACAGTAAAATTTGCTCTTTTTGCTTAATGCTTTTGTGCCCAGATCCTAAAAAGGGTGAACGCATACTTGACATGTGTGCTGCGCCAGGAGGAAAGACCACTGCAATTGCAAATCTTATGGAAGATGAGGGAGAAGTAGTAGCAGTTGATAGATCTCACAATAAGGTACATCATCTATGCATCTATTGACATAATTTCTTCAGTTTCTTGTACTCTACGGCTATTACCTTAGACAATGTTAGTCTTCCTTATTTAATGCTTGGTTGTTGGTTATCTAATTCCCAGAATTGGATTGTATCTGATGGTAATATAGGTGAAGCTGTTTAGAGATAGCTATTTAACATAATATATTGGCACTCTTTTATGATTTGCTACTTAGGTCCTCATATTACTAGGTCAGATGTTCATTATAAAGGTGTGGGCTAACCACCCCACCCACCCAACACATGCACACAACCCATGGTTTTGATATTTAGTTTATTGGCAATATGCAGGTGTTAGATATTCAGAATCTAGCTGCTGAAATGAGCTTGACATGCATAACAACTTACAAGTTAGATGCTCTTAAATCTATATCCCGAGCAAATGAATCCATAGACAGTGGTGTGCCGCAAATTTCCAATTCTGTGACCCCTACTGAGAAGCAAATGTCAGTGCATGATGGGTTATGTGGTGATAAGAATTGTGTTGGTAATGGAAATGGTAATTTCCTACCCTCTCCATTATAAGAAATGAATAGAGAAAAGTAGTCCTTTTCTTCTTGCTGTAATGGAAATGTCTCTTAATTCTGCCCTAAGTATGAAGTTTTAGTTTTCAGGGATGGGAAAATTGACAACAGCTATGTGAGCCAAGCTCATATCAGAAAGAACAAGAGGCGAATGAAGAATGGGCCTGGGAAAAATCATAGTGTAGGTGGTCGTGTTGAGAATTCAAAAGGTTTCTCTCCTGGCAGTTTTGATCGAGTTCTGCTTGATGCTCCTTGTTCTGCTCTAGGTTTGAGGCCTCGACTTTTTGCTGGAGAGGTAAGGGAATTGTGATTGTTTCTTAATTATCTTTTTCTTTTTCTTTTGGTTCACATACTTATTCCCATTCTTTACATGTTGCCAATGTTGGTCAGAGTAATTCTTCCAGCGGAATACTAACTCAAGGCACAGTGGATTTGAATTATTTTTACCGGACTGGAAGATAACGATTGAATTATTTGAAATGATTAAAAGTAGTTTAAGGTTCAAACATACTCTTTAAATTTGGGCAGAGGAAGCATAAGTAGTTTGCCTTTTTTTGGGTGGGAAATTAGTTTGCCTTTAATGCACAGGAGACTATCCGGTGCCAGTCAATGATAATTTTGCTTATTTAGATGAACCCGTAGTAGTCTTTGATTTGCTTTAGTAAGATGTTAGTTTCGTGTGTCTTCCCAGGGTACTGTTGTTCATGTTTCTTCCCTTTGTGTGAGGTTGTGCCAGCCTTAAGTGGGCATTTTGAGCTGTATATTCTGTGGTTGCTCTTTAAATTTGTTAGCTACTTCTTGCATATATTTGTGCTTTACATCAAGAATTTGATCTGTAATGTTCTTTTCAGGATACAATAGAATCTCTAAGAAACGATGCAACCTATCAGAGGAAAATGTTTGACCAAGCTGTTAAACTAGTTCGCCCTGGTGGAGTGATTGTGTATTCGACGTGAGTACAAAAACCTCTTTTCTCTACTTTCTTATATGTGAAGTGTTTTCCTGTTAAACTTTCAATTAAATTTGCCTTGGCCCTTAGATGAATTGGTGAGATTATACATCTGTACATCTTTCTTTTTCATCCTAGATACTCTAGCTTTCCATTACTTTTTTGTCCTGTTTTCTTATATGTAAAGTGTTTTTCGTGTTAAACTTTCAAAGAAGTTAGCCTTAGCCCTTATTTGAACATGGTGAAAGATAGTACATCTGTGCACCTTGCTTCTTCAGCCAAGATCCTCTAGCTGTCCATCACTTGTCGCCTGAACTTGGTTCAAACTTCTGATAAAAATAGATACATATTCCTATAAAAATATAGGAACTTTCTTTTTGCCGTCCTGCCTATTGAAAGGTTTTCTACCAATAAGTTAATTGCAGACAGAATAATAGCTTGCAATCAATGACAACTACTCTTAGATATGCCTCGTGCCTTAGCTAGTTGCTATACAGAGTAACATTGGCTGGAGATGTTTGCTGGGGAAAAAACATTGAGTTGAAATCTTCTTCAATTAGGCAGGAATGTCTTGCTGACTTGGAAATCTGGAATGAAATCTGGACATGGAAGAATAATAATTTTATGATACTACGCCCTATTGTTTCATTTGTTCCATTAACAATGCATTTTATGTTGAAAAGTAATATCATAGTAGCCTGTAATCAACTAATATATTGTATGTACCGCCGTCAGGCTCACATATGCTTTATATTTAGATGTGACTATTTCAGCATCTGAGGATAGGGTCTGTTGTATCTAAGGAAGGAGAAAATGACTTGATTAGATTATGCAGTGGTGCATTCAGTGTCTTGCTTGCTTAATGTGGCTGGCTAGAATCCAGGATCTCTGTTGCTGTATCCTGCAACTTCACAAGTTTTATGTATTTTCTTCAGAGTTGTTGACTCTAAATTTCATATTATGTTTCTTTTCCCATTTCATTTTCTCTTGTTTGGTTCCTTTTGTGATGTAGGTGCACATTGAATCCTGGTGAGAATGAAGCATTGGTACGATATGCTTTGGACACCTATAAATTTCTCTCGTTAGCTCCTCAGGTTAGATGTTATACATTTCCCCCCTTTCATCTCTTCTATTGCTTAAACCTGTAGAATAATCTGGTTTGTAGAAGTTTTGAAATTGGAACCTGAATCAAATAGCTACGGAGATTGAAATTTCGTACATCTCATAGCCATAAATGTTCACAGGAATTAAATAGCAACCGGAAAACTGAGATTAATCACCACTCACCTGTTCAAGAGTAATCATTTGTCACTCAGACCATAGGAAGTAGTTGTTAAACGTTTATATGCTTGGGTTTGAGCCTTTGATCCAAAAGTAGCACATTTGCTTTTTTACCCGCTTTGTATCAAGTGCTGTCAAACTCGTAGCTGGACAACGCTCTGCTTCTTCATTCAGTTTATTTGTTTTCTAAGATAGGTTTGATCAGATCAGTTTATTTGTTCATTCATGGGTGCCTCAATGGATCGTGCACCACAAATAAAATAATCAATTATGTCTTTCTTTCTTTCTTTCTTTCTTCCTTAAATCTTTGTTAACATCTGCTCTTATCCCTGCAGCATCCAAGAATCGGAGGACCTGGTCTTGTTGGTCGTTATGAATTTCCAGATGGGTATATCGAGTGAGTCATTCCTATATTCCTTTATACGGCGCATTTCCATTAACAATCTGAAAGTTAAATTTATCAGGATCCTATGTACCTTAAGAAACGGTTGATGTTGCCCCTTTAATTGACCTGACAATTGTTCATTAGTATTGCATTATAACTCGAAGTTTAGTCATAGCTAATACTCAGAGTGAGGATGAATCTTAAGTTGTCTAGGATCGATTAAAGCTGCTTGATGAACAATATAGTTTCGCAAAGATCACACTCTGGTCTGCTCTTTGTTTTTGTTTTGTTGGGGATGTACCCAAATGTTAAGGCGGGTGTTGGTTGATGGTTTGCAGGGAGTGGTTAAAGCCTGGGGAGGAAGAATATGTTCAGAGATTTGACCCGTCGGCTCCTCTCGACACCATTGGGTTTTTCATCGCTAAGTTTTCAGTTGGCTCCAATAGCAATGTCTAAAACTTCAACCCTTACCCCAGAAAGGAGCAGCTGTGTGTTTCTGTTCGAAATTTTGGAATCAGTCCAAACCAAAACCGTAGGGTCAAAATTGGTCGGCTGAAACCTAGTTTAACTTTAATGTTTTTAAGCCTGAATCTAAATGGGAGTAGTTTTATAATGCGAAAAGATTTCCTGTAACCCAAAATTTGTGGAGGTGGAGAGTTAAATTGAACTCAACTCGATGGAGCGGATATGGTGACAATACTATATTTGTTGTTATTGTAAAAACACTAGTATTCAACCAACAGGAAGTTAGGGTTGTGATGACTTTTTATTAGTTGAGTTGACCTAGTGTAAAATCAAAACAGGGGTATAATTGTTATTATGAAAATATGTTTAAATCATAATAAAAAATATAAAATATAAAAGCTTTTTTTTATTTTCTGCCCAAAATTTTGGTCGCCGGTCACTGGAATATGTTTTTTTAGTCGGAATATGCCCACTGTGGTCGGAATATGTCCATTGGCGTCGGAATATGACCATCGACGTCGGAATCTGCTCACTCATCGGAGTTTGGTCAATGACCACCAGGTGTTATGGTCTGCATTGTGAGATTTATGGTTTGGTTTCTCATATTTTTGTATGTCTTTTGTTGTTTGCTATATCGTGTTTGTGGTTTGCATTAAGAAGTTTCTGGTTTGCTTTCAAAAATTGTGATGCATTGTGAGGTTACTGGTTTGTTTTAATATATTTGTGGTCTGCATTAGGACGATTTCAGTTTTTTTTTTTTTTTGTGGTTTGATTTACTGTGTTTGTGGTTTGCATTAGAAGGTTTCAGGTGTGCTTTCGCAAATGTTGTGGTTTGCTTTGTGAGGTTTGTGGTTTGTTTTAGGAGATTTGTGATATGCATTAGGAGGTTTCTGGTTTGCTTTATTGTGTTTTTGGTTTGCATTAAGAAGTTTATGGTGTGCTTTCGAAAATTTTATGGTTTGATTTGTGGGGTTTCTGGTTTGTTTTAATATATTTGTGGTCTGCATTAGGAGGTTTGTGGTTTGCTTTACCGTGTTTGTGGTTTGTATTATGAGGTTTCTGGTGTGCTTTCAGAATATTTGTGATATGCTTTGTGGGGTTTTGGGTTTGTTTTAGGGGATTTGTAGTATGGATTGGGAGGTTTCTGGTACGCATTTTGTGGATTGTTTTACCGTGTTTGTGGTCTAAATTAGGAGGTTTTTGTTGTGTTTTAGAAATAGTTGTGGTTTGCTTTATGGGTTTCTCGATCTGCATTAGGAGGTTTCTGGTATGTTTTTTTGGTTTTGTTTATCGTAATTGTGATATGTATTAGTAGGTTTCTAATACTATATACATTAATTGCGGATACATAAGAAAAAATACACTATAATTGGGGGAAGAAAATGTGCATTTGCCAAACTTCCATCCAATTAACTAACGAACTGGGGAAAAAAATGCAATTCTCCCACCTTAGCATTGACCATAAAGAAGAAGCTTTTGAGTCAGTTTCACATCATTATGATATTGCAGAACAGGTTGCAGAATGAACCAAACTTGGAAGATGATAAAGAACAGGCAACTCTTTTTTATTTTATTTTATATAAAGCTGTTGTTACTTTTTCTTCCACTAACGCTAACTTCAGGGCTCGACTTCTGGCACACACTCTTAAAAAGCTGTTTATTCCTTCTTGTCATTGTGATCATACTCCTATGATCAAGGTTGTCAACCCGCGGGTCGATCCGGATTAGCCCGGATCCGGCCAAAAAAACGGGCCATACCAACCCATTTTCATGTCAGCCCGGAAATAGTCAAATCCGGAGAAACCCGGTCAAACCTGGGTTGACCCAGCCGGTTAGCCCGTTGGAGCGAGTCAACGGATTGCTCTTCCTGAGCCCCGTTGGCCGTTGCGTCGCCGTTTCTGCGGACTCCGCCTCTGCTCGGCCTCTACCTCTGCCTTGAATTTTTAACTATGATGGATTTAAGTTGATGTTATGTGAATGATTTAAGTGTTGTTGAATTTTTACTATGTTGAATTTAAGTTGATGTTATTTAAGTGTGTTGGAGTTGAAGTAGTGTTGCATTTTTTATGTTGGATTCATGATAAGTATAATATAATTACATTTTCCATATTTACGGGCTAAACCGGGCTAAAACTGGTGACCCAATGACCCATGACCCACTAGTTCGTCCGGGTCCGGATCGACCCGCGATTTGACAACCTTGCCTGTGACCAAACAAATCGCAGCACTCACCATTTAACAAATCCTTCAATGGTCCTATGTTGCTCACATTGCTGCCTACATCATCGATCACGACCAGCGCCTTCATTCGACCAAGGCGGTGAGGCCTCAACTCGTATGATAATGCTAATTTGCCACCACTCTCATCACCCAACAGTTTCGAGAAAAAGTCACTTTGCCGATCTCTGTGAAGTGATGCATCTGCAAAACTACTGAAGAGGTAGGAAGCCTCAAATTGCCAAGAGAACAGGTCGAATATGGCCTTGGCAAGAGGCCGGCCATTCCCCGCAGATCTTCCTGTACAAGCGATTTTTGAAAACAAGCCACAATTAAAGATTATCTTCTTCCTTCGGTGCCGCCGGGCGCCGAGAGCGCATTCACCGGCTGTGTCGCAAGCGAAGGAGCTGGCGGGACCACCGCCAGTGTCGTCAGAGTCCTCATCGACGACGATGAAGCAACTCTCTGTCGAATCTAGTCCTAACCTAAAGAATGGAGCCATATTCACCCACACACCGTCAAAGACAATCTCCATAGATGCCTCTGTCTCTGCTAGCCATGGCCGAATTCCATCATCTGGAAACTCCACGGCAAGCCAATTGGCTACAACCTCGTTGTCACCAGGCTCCACCATTCCTGGCGTCCAGCGGGCAAGGTGGAAATCCGAGATCTTGGCCGCGGAGGAGTCGATCGCATCCGGGTAGAAGATGGGGTGGCGGAGGAAGAAGCGGGGTGGAGGAGAAGGGTCGCAATGGTGAGAGATGAGATTGACAACGGTGGGTGAATTTTAATTAACTTATTTTATTATTTTCTATCTAATTTACCATTTACCCTTAATGAATTTTATTGTTATAATAACAACATTAAGAGTGTTGTTATTCTATCTGAGCCCCAATCGATGTTACTTAAGGAGCAAATTAGGTCAGTCATTTTAGGGTCAGTAACTATGAGTAACCTGTGCTCATCACCGTGACATCAACATCCTCTCCTTTATGGTAACCTTAAATCTTTTCTTTTTTATTCTTTAATGAACAATTTCTCTCTTGTTTTAAATTGAAATTTAATTTCTTTTGCACAGATAAATCAGAGTAATTGTTCTCTTCAAAATAATATCCATTTTAATATAATTTGGGAAAAAATTGAGTCATTTTTTGCCAGTCTATATAATATATGGTATTGATTGGTAGAAAATAAGAGTATAGTATATGATATGAAAGCGTATCATGGTGGTATGACCATACAAACTGTAGGATGGTTGAATACATAATATTAGGAGTATATTAGTTGTCATTTACAACTTTTATCATTGTGTACTTCAAGTTACCACCCCCATACCAGAGTGCTATAATATGGTATTTTTCAGGCATGTATTTTTTCACTCAGGAATTTGTAGATCCAAGAGATCATGATTAACTAGTTTTTTCTGTGCAAATATTTTTCAAAAAAATGATATAAAAACGAAGGAGATACAGTATGGTATGGAGTTGGTATCGAGAGGTATGAAAAAAATTTCTCAAAAAATATTGAAACTTGATCTCATTTTGAAGAGCACTAAGAAACTCATTCCATCTGTGCAAAAAAATTGAAATTCGAGTTGGAACGAAAAAGATAAGAGCCAATTAAGAAAACTAGAGAAAATAAAATGTCTTTAATTCACAATCCTTAGATCTAGATTTTCTAGGCCCACTTAATCCAAAGGTCCAGATTTAGTTACTCATGGGTGAGTAACCAATGGTTACTAACCCTATCTTGAGTCGTTACTTACGCATTAAGCAGAACCTCATAGAACAAGAGAACCAAATGAATCTTATTAAGTTTAAATTGACAGTGATAATCGGTTTGGTGGCGGTTTCTCTACACCGACCGGTTGGCTCCGACACCGAGAATGGGTCAACTAGGCCAACTGTGTCCGACATCAAGAGGACTGCGGTTATTCGACACCGACAATGATGTGGTACAATCAGTTGATTGGTTGTTTCGCTACTGATGCCTCCACGCTCTCTAGCTTTGCTACTCTCACTCTGCGGTGACGGTGAGCTGGCAATTTGCTCCGACGAGGTAGATGGGAGGTGGTGAAGACGAGGAAGAATGTGGGAAACGATGATGGAACATACAAGGAAAATCAGTGGACGTCGTCAACGAAGAATTCGGGATGGCGACGCAACTGACGATCCATCTTCACTGTATCAGCGACCCTCTTTCTCCTTCTTGGTCGTCGTTCGCTGGATTTGGGTGGCGAGCGACGACGATTGAGGTAGAGAAGTAGACGACGGTGAACGGCGAGTTCAAGAGGGAGAGGTCTGGATAGTCAAGACTCGCAATTGGCGTTGATTGAGGGTTGGGTGTGATGTTTTGAGGAGAGTGGAGGGACGAAGATGGCGGGGCAACGAGGATTCTTCTTCTGGAGAGCCATGGAGGGATTGAGATGGGAGGGGGTTTAGGGAAAAAAGGAGGGGAGGGCGGTTATGTGGTGCACCGAGTTTATCGCCGGTTGTCGTTTAACATGAATCCCCAAAACAACCATCCAACGCCTAAACCGAAGAGAAGTTATTGGTTTTCAGTTTGGTGAATAACCACTCTAATCGGTTCTATTTTTTGTTTAACCGAGAAACCGTCAACCAATTATCACTCCTAGTTTAAATGATCAAGAAGAGTCATCTAGGAAAATAAAAGTTATTGTGATAATTATATTAAGGATTGTCAATCAGTTGCCGGTTAGTCGGATAATCTCAAAACAGAATCGTAAACCACAGTTTTTCAGCTAACTGAAAATCGATAAAAAACTTTGTTTGTTGGCGGCAGTTAGGAAAAATAGGCTCATTGGTTGACTGCGTTTATCAGTGAATAGTTGTCCCCAAGTCACAACATGAGAGACATGGCGTCATCTCCTCCCTTCCACGTCACGAGTTTGAAATATGAGCATTGGCGTCATCTCTTCCGCTGTGAACGAACATCTCGATGACCCATCATCGCCTCTGCCTTCGTAATGGAGTAGCGCTCCGGGCGATTCGTCTGAAGTGGTGTCGTCTTTGACAAATCTCACCCCAATTGTCGTCAGTGCCCATCCTCGATCCTCCGTACACGTCTTGTTTCTTTCCATCTTCGTTTCTCTTTGTCATTTCTAGCAAGGGAGAGGGGAAGACAAGGTCACAAGGCTAGAAATAATATTTTTCATCGCGTTCCACCGCTGGATGACTGGATCCCATCCCTATACTGTTAATTGGGTTGGTAACCGATAATCGGCTAGTCGGTTACTGATAAACCGACTAGTTCCCGATACTGGTAGTCGGCAATCATTTGCTATGGTTGGGTAATGGTTAACCAGTTAGCTAGGTAATGGTTAAACCGATTATCTACCGATTACCACTCCTAGTAGGGAACTCAATCCGAGTTTGCGAAGAGACAAATAGGGATGAACAAAAATATATGAAATCATGGATATCCACCCAAATCCGAGTTGAAGACTCATCCTAAAGGCCCACCTCACCATGTAAGTGAACATCTGTTTGTCTGAAATTGGAGGACTGGTTTAGAAAGCATGAAATCAGACATTTAATTGAAAGGAAAGGAAACAAGGCTTGACTCATGTTGTCTATGTGGCACTGTGTGTTTGTGTGAGTCTGTAACTAAATTGGAATTGTGCAAGAAAATTATTATTTGTTATTTCTTGTGATGTAAGCCTGTAAAAAAAAAAGCAGCATGGAATCTGATTTCTCTTGATTAATAAGGATCTAGAGTCCATGTGGACTTGGTGGTCATGTATCGACTCATGGAGGAGGACGACAAGGAGCAACTGTTGGACTTCCTTTTGTTCCTGTGGTGCCTTCACAGCCTGCTATACTGATGGACATCTATCTATGAGATGCATATGATACTATTCTTGAGGATGAGGATGATGACGATGACAAGTTCGATATTTTGAAATGGTGGTCCTAAAAAAACATTAGATATCTCGCGCTTTTCTATATGGTGGAGGATATTTTAGCTATTTTGGTTTCTTATGTTGCCTCTGAGTCTGCTTTCATCATGGAGGTGGGGTTCTATCCTCATTTAGGTCCTCTTTGACCCCTAAAATTTTTTGGAGGCATTGATCTGTGCAGAAGATTAGCTACGTTTCTCCGATTCCCAATTGGTTGACGATGAAGTGGATCGCGAAGAGCTAATTAAGTTTGAAAGTGACAACATCTCTTTTCTTTCTTCACTCTTCCTTCTCATTTTGTGAATGATAACTTGTTAACACTTTAATCAATGATTGTTTGTAATGTAGCTAATAATACTTTACAAGCTCGAATGGATACTCAAAGTGAAAGTGACAATGATGGTGTAAGTGATAACACTACAGATGTAGTGTTCTCGGAGCTCTATATTTGATACATTTTACCTTCTATCGATGCATTTTAGTGGGTTTTATTATATGTTAAATGAATTTCGTAACTATTTAGAGATTGAGTGTGCTTTGTATTATTTGGCATCTTTTTGTATTATTTTGTGCATTTAAGAGTATAATACACTTGGAGGACTTATGAGTAATGAATGGACCAAAATGAGGCAAATCCAATGAATGGTGCATCTAAATGGGCTACCGTCATTTTATGCAAGGAGGATACAAGCGATTCTGGACCCATGACATCAAAGAGGACAAGAATACCAGCACCTAGGCATAAATGGTGATGGATTTGGACACTAGATGATCATTATAGTAGTGCAACAGGCTCACCTTTGACCATGGTCAAAGTGGGTCAAACAAAGTCCAATTGAACGCAAAATTTAGGAGCATCCTGTTGAGCCCAAGACGAACGTTCGTACAAAAAAATAGCCAATTATGAGGATGGAGGCCCAGATTAATGTGTGGCCGCTGCATTTCCCCAAAACTTAGGGAAGCTTCTTTCTTCGCCCCCAAGTCAGCATTCAGTTCTCAATCGTATTGGAGAAAGATTCATATCCCTTTTGGTCGAAAACCCCCTAATACTACATCATATATACATAGTTTTCTCCCTCTAGCTACTAGTATAAATAGAAGCTTAGACTAGAGCTCTAAGTATAGTTCTTCACGCCCATTTGGGTATAATGAAGTTCAGGACTTCATCTTGTGGACATTTTTTCTTTAGTCCTAATAATTGTTTTATCCCCCTTTGGATCTGAAGTTCAAGTGAAGTTGAGGAGGTAGTCACACTGTCGGAATTTTGCGGATATGTCTCCACCATCAATCGTGACATCATTCCTCTCTCTGCTAAAGCCTTTATTGCTTAGGATGTGAATTCTATGATGCTTTGTGCATTAGTTTCAATTAATAATATGCATATGACGTTTATCTTCTATTATATGTTATCTTGGTTTCACAGTTAATTCTATTATTATAGGTTGCTAGGAAACTGCTTTTATGTGATATGTTATTGACTTAGGCATGTATGAATTGAATACACAACTTTCCATGTATGTGTAAAATTGATGCTTGATATAGATTGTTCAGAACTCACATATAGAGGTAACCAATGCTATCGTGTTCGTATAGGCAATTAGCAATATGTTGTCTATGATCTCTTGCTAGTGATTGATTAGTTTGTGGCATGAAGCGTAAGCGCACATCTACTAGCTTTAATTCCTTTTGTACGAAGTGAAAGCACGATTAGGAAT